AAATGCATATGCAGTGTGAGAAGCACAAAGCTGCAGCCAGCAGCCACAAACTGACCCCGGAAATTTTACCGTTTTGCTCCCCAGCATGTGGTGCCACACAAACTCTGAAGTTGGAGGGTTTTTGGATTTTAAACACGATTGTGAAGCGCCAGTTTGAAGAATTTTATCGCAACAAAGCTGTGATGAACTGTTTCAGCCGTTCTCATTTATAGCTGAAAAAGGGGACAGGAGAAAGGAGTAGAGGCTAGAGAGCCACAGATGCTGCGATGAAGACAAATGAGGAGAAAAGATTAACAGCAGCATTAAACAATGTCTTCAACTTAAATTAATAATGTGATAGGAGTTTTAGTTAATCTCAGAAGTATGCAATCTTGTTTTGTACATCTCTGTCATGATACCGATCTTAAATTTAGTTCAGAATGCTCTTAAATCTGAGCAGTAAAAGACGTTTGGCGACTTTGGCTCCTTTGGAAAGTCTGAGTTGATTGTTTGCCGTCTTTTCCCTCCTTCCAGTGGGCGACTTCGACAAGATCTGGCGCGAGCACTGCGAGGACGAGCAGACGCTCAGCGAGTACGCCGTCGCCATGAAGAATCTCGCCGACAACCACTGGACTAAAAAGTGCGAAGGAGAGGGCCGAATCGAGTGGTGTCGCAGGTGCGTTTAGTTTGAAACTAGCTGAAACCGCATGTTTGACACACACACACATGCACACATGCATGTGTTTAGAACCAATAAGGTTCTAATTTGCTGGTTTTGATTTCACTTCTTCAGTGTCTGTCAAGAATATTTTTTGGATGGCGGAATGAAGCGGATGTTAGAAAAGGATGAAAAGAGTGCAGCACATGCCTCTGGTCTGAGTGGCCAAGCACACAGTGCCATCCCCAGGTGGGTTCAAGTAAAAAAAATAAATAAATAAATTTGTAATTGCAAAAAAAATAAATAAAAGTTTGTTTAATTGAAGTGGACACCCTTCACGTCCACTTCCATTTTGGACTCAAACCAAAGGTTGGATATTTTAAGCCATTGATTTCTCAGGTTTCTTGCATCTTTTTTTTTTCTTCCATAGTTCAGTATCTCAGCTGGGAAAGATTCGTCTTCTGGACGTCGGAAGCTGCTTCAACCCTTTCCTGAAGTTCGATGACTTTCTGACCGTCGGTATCGACATAGTGCCAGCAGTTGAGGTATTCTTTTTTTTTTTCTGATTACTAAAAGTAGATGGATGTGTTCACATCTCTGCATGAGGCTTTCACACTCACGTTACGAAGCAGAAGCAGCAGAAGCGACTTGTGTAGAGGAGTTTCCATGCCTGTGGTTGGCTGGTTTTAAGGTTCTGATTTACCAGAAAGCGAAACATCAAAGACTTTCCATTCTGCACCTGCAGCTTCCAGTATGATTAAGCAACTGTCGGTTTCATCACAACAACTTTCTCTGATTTACGTCTCGTTTTCAGAGCGTCTACAAATGCGACTTCCTCAACCTGCAGCTCCAGCAGCCCCTCCAGCTGGCGGGCGACGCCGTCGACGCCTTCCTGCGCCACCTCCGCAGCCCCATCGACGCGCTGCCAGCGCAGCTGTTCCACGTGGTCGTCTTCTCTCTGCTTCTCTCCTACTTCCCCTCGCCTTACCAGCGCTGGATCTGCTGCAAAAAGGCCCACGAACTGCTGGAGCTGCACGGCCTGCTGCTCATCATCACGCCCGACTCGTCCCACCAGAACCGCCACGCCCTCATGATGCGCAGCTGGCGGGTGGCGGTGGAGTCGCTGGGCTTCAAGCGCTACAAGTACGTCAAGTACTCCCACATGCACCTCATCGCCTTCCGGAAGGTGTCCCTGGCCACCACCAGCGACCTGGTGTCCCGCAACTACCCAGAGATGCTCTACATCCCGCAGGACTTCAACTCCAACGAGGAGGAGGAGGAGTGCGGCGCCGCGTTGCCGCTGCAGGCGCTGCGCTCCGACTTCGAGGACGACCAGCTGGCTTGGGGCTTCGCTGAGCTGCCGGACGCGCCGTACGACTCCGACTCCGGCGACAGCCAGAGCAGCTCAGTTCCGGGATTTCACGAGTTTGAGGATCCCATCTTACTTCAGAGTTAGGCGGAACTAGGACTTCCCTCCCCGGCCCCACCGCTGACCACTCCTGACCTCCCGACCTCCCCCACCGGCCTTTCTCTGCCTGTCTTCTTCCCAGCGGCTGAGGCGCTGCCAGATCTAAACCTGCTGCATTCTCCTCCCATTTCCCCAACCCTTCTACTGAAACATAATGCAGTTTGCACAGTGGGAAAGAGAGTTTACAGATTATTTTCACATATCCCCCCCCCCCCCCCCCCACACACACACAGACACTAAGATGGATATATTTTGATTTAAAAAACAAAACAAAAGGTTTTATAAGAGTTTGAATGCCCTGAAGATAACCCAACTCCTAACCCCTTGTTTTTAACTCCCCTCTACCAATCAGCTCTCAGCAACTACAATTCAGCCCGTTTACATTCTGCACTTGGTCTCCATTTCAATAAGTTAGTGTTGCAGGCTGCTTGTATTAAAGCCAAAAAATACCCAGCAACTCCAGTAGTCTGACAGAAGCTTGATTGTTTTTATTGCACTGAAGAGTCTGGGAAGGAATGCTTGCTTCTGTCACAGTCATGCAGCTAAACCTTTAGTTTTCCCAACCTAAAAGGAAAAAAAAAAAAAAAAAAAAGCCCAGATCTTGACTAAAATCTGTGTTGTCCAGTGTAAAGTGTGGTGACACTATTTTTAATCCAAGATCTTCTGAATTATTTCTGTGTCTTTTACAATACCTTTCTAATTGTAGCATTTCAAACACTTTTAGTGTTACTTTCGTTGGGTGAATATGTGACCGTTGTCAAACAAGGTACGACTTCTAGGTGTTGCACTCGCCGCCTCCTCTTATCTTCGTGTCGGAACGTCAACTCTGGGTTATGTCACCGTTCCTTTCCTTCGGAAAAAAAAAAGATGTTCCAGCATTGCACATCTGTGATTTTAATCCGACTTATCTGGAATACCGATGTGAAAAGGTTTCGCCTAAATTATCCAAACCTGAGCTCCTCGTATTCTGATGTTTCTTTATGAGCCTAAAGATTTGCACAAATGGGAACAAAATCGTTGGTACCCTTACTAAGATTTGGAAAAAACACCTTAAAAGCGGCATAATCTCACACTGAAAACCAACCTTTAATTTGTGTATATCCGTTTAGTGGTAAAAAAAATTTTACATTAAGAAAAAGAAACCGTAAAAGTTCTGCACTCCATACAGTTTCAGCCTGGGGTCTGACATCAACATAGCAGAAGGTTAATTTGGCTCATTATCCTTCTTAAAGATCCAATGATGCCCCATTTTCATTTTTCTGGTATTTTCTTTTCTCATCTCTTGGTATTTTCAATAAACCCATGATGTCATACACTTAACAAGGTTACCAGTTTTACAACATCACAAATCCCTCATTGTACCGTACAGTGAATATCATTTTTTACATCAATCCCTTTGGAGTGTTGTCGCTCACACTTGTCCAATTAAAGTACCAGAAGACGAGCAAACGCCGCGTGTTGATGTTATTCACGCTAGGCCAAAAAAGTGCCAGTATGTGTTGGAGTTCTCAAACGGCGGCGTTGATGTTTACTCAAAGTAAAGGTTGGATTCTTTCGGTTTTCAGTCTGATATTATGTCAGTGACGGAAAAGTCGTCTTTACTGCGGTGCCAATAAACCTGTTTGCACACCGGGGGTGGGAGGGTTAGCTAAAGACACTACCAGATGAAATGCTAGCATGTGTTCCCTCTGGCCCCTGGACGGGTCCAATCCTGAGAGTATGTTCGAGTTGGCGAGTGTGAATGAGGGTGTTGTGAGTGGCACTTTTAGGATTCATCCCAAAAGGTGCTGACATGTAACCATTTTCCTCAGGAGGAGTGTTTCCTAAGGAACAACAGGCCCAGACAACACAACCATTAATCTTAAGGTGCCTTGGGCCGATTGTGACGATTCTTTGGCCAAACTGCACACAAAACATTTTAGTTCTCTTTTCTTTTTAATCATTTTAAGGGAACAGAAAAAAAAAGGTTTTTGGTGCAGTCCAATGTTCTCATTGCTGTATTATTATATTTTTTTCCCCAAGATTCTTCTGAATGGAAAAAAAACATATTGATTGCACATATTCAGAGTACTTTGAAGTGTGTTTGTGAAGTGTCTTCCAGTGTTTTCTTTTGGCCTATTTGCATGGTCATTGTCATTATCAACACTTTCAACAATTCAGAACAATGTGTGCTTAGAGGATGGTTGTATTACTGTTTTATAAATGACTGAAAAACAATTAAGTGTATGTGTGTTTATTTGGAAATACTCAAGACTTTTTGCACAATTTATGCCTCGGAGGTATGTTAAAGAACATTTAGTGAACAAATAGGCATCAGGAAGGCAGAGGTACACATCAGAAATGTTAGTGGATAGGGTAAACACTTAAAAAGTCAGCAAAGCTCATAAAAATATTAGAATGGCCCAGTCTGGAGCCAAAGACCTGCCGTCAATTCACTGAGAATTAGTTGTAAAAATAGTGATTACAGCTACACTCGATCTGAGTTTGAGCTTTGCTGGATAAAACACTTATTCTATTTGCAGTAAAATGCCATCGTCACGCATTTAATCTTTGAAATCTTTAAAAATCATGCATCATTTTGTTTGCACTACAAGCTCATCTCTACTTTGTGTAGGGTTGACAGGTTTGTTTTGTTTTGGAACAAAAGGCAAAAGTTTAAAAGCTACATGTATTTGCAGGAAACTGAATCTAATGTGAAACTACTTAGTCCAAACAATTGTAAAACGGTCCATTTATTCAATCCAACTACATTTTAAATGTTTTAATTGACATTCACTGTCGTCAAATTATCGAAAAATAATGTTCAGCTAGAATTTTAACACTTGAACATCACCTTTTCATTGAACTGTTCGCGTATGCGCCTTTTCTTTTTTACCCTCAGCGCTTGCCGTACGGAGCAAACAATCATGGCGGTTGTCATCTGACTGAAGTTTAGATGGGACAAACTTTTTCAAATGCTATGCTTCTCGCACTTCTCCTGGCTTATTTCTCGGCGTTGTATCCGCTAGCTCTTCTGACTTTACTGGATGTCAGTCGAAATGAAACACGGAGTTAGAAATGTGAGCTGGTGAGCGGGACGGCTTTGCGTTAGCCGCTCTAATGCTGGTGTTTTACCTCAACAAGTCCTCCAGCTAACCCGGACTCTGTGCTCTCGCGGGATTTCAACAAACTTTAAATCGTGAATTTTACAGGTTTTTTTTACGTTAAAAACCGGGGGTGGGGATTATATCAAAATGCTTCGCTTTCTTCGGTACTGTTTAAGCCACTGCCTCCAAGCAGCCATGACCCGGCTGGAGGAGGTCAACGGGGAGGTGAGCGTGTGGTCGTCGGTCCGGTGGCTCGGCTACCTGTCCGGTCTGAACCTGCTCCTGGGTCTGAGTTTAGGTCTCTACACGCGCTGGACCGGAACAGCGGAGTATATAGTTCTTGTGGTACTTATCCTGGCCCTGCTTGTCCTTGTCGCCGCCTGCGTGCTGTACTACTTCTTCGACCTGGAGCGGCCCAGCCTGAATCTCCTCCACCTGTGGTTCGGCTTCCTGTTGGGACTCCTGAGCTTCCTCAACCCGCCCGGCCTGCAGGCCGACGTCAAGGAGCGCGCGGCCAATTACCTGCTGCTGTGCAGCGTGGCTCTGAGGACGCTCTGGTCGCTGCTGGAGCGGCTGCTGGGCCGCACCCGGTACCGACCCGCCTTCATCACCTCCGCGGAGCGCCTGGAGCTGGCCGGCTTCGCGGCTGCCAGCACGGCGCTCCGCGTCAACGAGTCTCTGAGCGTCACGGTGCTGGTCGTGGCTCTCGGTGCGGTCATGATCACCCTGCGCACCAAGGCTCTCCTGGCCTTCCCCAACTTCGCCTGCTTCACATGCACCGCCGCGATTTTCTTCTTGAAGTGCCTGAGCGTCGACGCCAACCCGTTCGCTGTCGCCTGCTTCTTCAGCCTGCTCATCTGCGACCCTCTGCTGGACTCCTACTTCAGCGGGCTTTCCGTCATCGAGCGCTGGCGGCCCATCCTGGTGTCCAGCGGTCTGAGGCGCCGCCTGACTCTCCTGCCTCTGCTGGCGATCGAGGTGGCCTTCGTCGCCGTCGCGGCTCAGAAGTCCCGGGACTCGGACCAGTGGTACCTGGTGATCCCGGGCTTTGTGGTGTGCGTGTTCTTCTGGGCCATCTGCCACATGGTGTTAGTGATCAGTGTGTGGGGCTTTCACAACAAGCTCAGTGACTGCCAGAGACTGTGTTGGACGCAGGGCCCAGAGGACGCCAGCCTGGAGAAGATCATGGCCTCGAAAGGCATGAGGCACTTCTGCCTCATTTCCGCAGACCTGGTGTTCTTCGCTCTGGTGTCCACTGCTGCTGTAGCTGCTTTTAGCTGGCAGGTAGGAGCAATAATTCACTAGACAGGTGCAGCGATCCAAAAATATTATTGGTATCAGTATCGATCGATACTAGCGTGTCAATGCTAAGATCAATACTTTAGTTTCAGAATCCAGCTTGAAATTTTGGTATTGTTTTTTTTTTATTTGTGCAATAATAAATTGTACTTTTTATTTAGAAAAAAATTGCTGAAATAGGTTCTTTACTTGGCATCAGATTGATTCCAAAATATGCTGTATCGCACACCTCTACCTTTACATCCTAAAAGGCAGAGCTGAGTGTTCACGTTTGCTTTGTGTGACCCGTCTGCAGGAGTCCAGTGGTATCTTCATCAGTACGTTTCTGCTCATCCTGCCCCTGGAGTGTCTTCTTCATGGACTCTTCTACGAGCTCGGGAACAGTCTGGGTGGGACCTGCGTGGGCTATGCGGTGGTCATCCCCACCAACTTCTGCAGGTAGGTGGGGCTGCAAAGAACCAAATCGCTTAGTTTTAACAGTAAGACCCACTTCATTAATGATCCGGGTCTTTTTGGGTCCACCAGTCCTGACGGCCAGCCCCTGCTGCTGCCGCCAGACCAGGTGCAGGAGCTGAACAAGCGCTCCACCAGCATGCTGAGCAGCGTGCAGCGTTTCTTTGCCTGCCACCTGATCGAGAACTACGGTTGCGACTACTCCACCAGCGGCATCACCCTCGAGTCCCTGCAGGCGAAGATCAAGTCTTTCTTGGAGCTCCGCACAACAGACGGACCTCGCCATGACACATATGTGATCTTCTACAGCGGCCACACGCACCGCAGTGGAGAGTGGGCGCTGGCAGGTGGGACGTCCAAACGGTCTTGATCTGCTTTCTGAAAGACACAGGGTGTCTCTGCACATCCTTACAAAAATCATACACACATTCATCTAAAATTAAGGCCTTAAAATGACTTAAATTCAGACATCTTCACTGCGTTTTGTGACTGGAGGCAGTTGACGCTGTCCCTAACTAGCCTCAGCGGCTAGCTAATATACACTTGCAAGTTAACTAGGTAGCTTTTTATTGCATCTATTATTTCAGAGTAATTTATTCATTTCTGATCCCAAAATATACAATGCTAGTGAATTCTGGGCAAAAAAGTTTGACACTACTGTATGAAACAATTTTTCTTTTGTAGATTTGTCATGATACAGGTCTTAAATTTCATTCAAAATGGTCTTAAGATTTTAGTTTGAGTTGGTAAAACCTGCAGAATCTTTGACACAGCAGGATCGCCCAACCTATAGTTCTTTGGTCTTAAATTACATTCAAGACGGCTTAATTAAAAAATTCTTCAGTTTGCCTTTCTGAAACCTGCAGATGCCCTGAGATCTCCAATGGATTTCTAATCTGGTTTTGTGCTCAGGTGGAGACGTCCTCCGCCTGGATCAGCTCTTGGAGTGGTGGAGGGAGAAGAACGGAGGGTTCTGCTCCCGCCTCATCGTCGTGCTGGACTGCGACCACTCGCTGCCCTGGGTGAAAGAAGTCCGGCGCGTGGAGGGGCTGCACGTGGCCGTGCAGGGCGCGTCGCTCGAACGGGCCGGCGACGCGGAGCGGCGAGAGCCCCCGCAGCTCGGGGACTTCACCGCTCAGTGGGTGGACTACAACTGCAACCCCAACAGCGGCGTCCGCTGGTCCGAAAGGAGCCGGGCCGTCTCGGCCGCCTACGGCGTCTCCAGGCACTGGAGTGACTACACTCTGCACCTGCCAACAGGAAGCGACGTCACCAACCACTGGAGCATGTACTTCCCCCGGGTGACCTACCCGGTGGTGCAGCTGGCGGCGTGGTGCGGCGGCCTCAATCTGCTGGGGGTCTGCAGCTTCTGCCTGCGGTACCTGAGGAGAATCAAGCTGAACTGGTTCCCACCAGCTGTACTGGACACCCAGCAGGGCTTCAAACTGGTCACATCATAGGGACCAATCATGTGACCCTACAAAAAACAGCAGATAAATAACAGCTGCTGATATTTTTCTCACTAATGTGGCAGCTACTCATCACCAAACCAGCACCCTGATAGTTACTGAAAAATGAATGTTAGCCATTTTTTATTCTTTTAATTCAGATATTTATGTATAAATATTTTTGGAACAAAAGGTCAGTCGGTGAGATTGAAGTCGTTGCTCCCAGATCAGACTGAGCTCAACGTTTTGCACATTTTCTCCTGTTAAATCCGACTCCACCTTGGATCTTTTTGCTTCACATGTTGCCTTTTACCCCAAAAAAAAAAAAAAGAAAGACCTGCTCTGCTATTTATTAAGATCTTGAACCAAAGTGACTCAGATACATGCGTTTTTAACCAATTGCTACGCTCAAAGAAATTATTCTTATTCTTTTTGATGCTGTTTTGTCAATACCTATAGTTTCTGAAATGCTCAGGTTGCTGCTTTGTATCCCTAAGAATGTTTTCTACTATTTTTAAGAGGAATTTTCTAAACCCACTCCAGCTTCTTCAGGTAGCACAATAAGGAGTGATGCAGTACTTCTAATAGACCGAAGAAAGATGTAATATTCTTTCTGGATATTATTTTATTCAACTATGCAAGTTTTTTTTTTTTTTTTTATTTACTTAGAATCAGTATAATGTTTGAAAGTGATTAATGGTGAGGAAACGGGTGAAAGATTGATTACACTATGCAATAAATTAAGTGGACCTTAACTGATTTAAAGTGACTTTCTTGCAAAAGAATTCACATCCTTTAAAGTTTTTCAGATTTTAAACACGTCTCAATTGGAAACTTCAATGGATTTTATTCAATAGAACATATCAGCTTTTAAAATGCTAAAAGAAGCGTTAAATATTAAAGTTGTGGAAAGATGTTAATCTTAATCAGTTTATTATAGAGAGCATTTTAAAATCTAAAGCAGATGTATAAATATGTTAAAAATGAATTGGGCCGAGCACTAAACCTTGTGGTACTCCAAAAGTAACTGATGTGCTGGACGTCACTCTTGTGGCTACTGATGTTACTGTGTGCTAAACAATGCAATGTCGTTTATTGCCTTGAACACCCAATTTCCAAGATAAAACCTGATGCTGTGGGACATGTGCATGCCGCGTTTCAGATCTGTGCAAAAATTAAAACATTTTTTGACCTTTTAATTTTTCAATTACACATTACCTTGTATTACATTAAAAAAGCCCCCTGAAGTCCCTTAAAGATTTTGTTTTAACATGACAAAATGTGGAAGAGTAGTATTTAGCACGTGAGACGACCCGCTTCATCTCCTGAAACTGTCCCGTACGTTTCCCAGAACAAAACAAAGAAGCTCACCAGGCTGCTTACCCAGTAAAGAGATTGTTCAGTTAAAATAAAACCCTCGACCACACCGTCGTCATTTCACATCATGCTGGGAGTTGTAGCTACAAGCGAATCATTTCATTGTAGTTCATGAAAGTAAGAGGAAACAAAACGATTCATTTTTCTCCAAACCTAAGTGTTTGCTATTATCTGCTATTAGAAAACCTTAATGATGGCCAGCAACAAAAATGTCCTCCATCCATTTACCCTCATCAAGATGCTGAAACCATGCATCGACCAACACATGCAGCGTGAATAAAACAGGCTTGTCGCCTTGATAACCAAATGACACAAGATGAATTTTAAAAAGTCTTAAAACTTTTCTGTTTGGAAAAAAAAATAAACCAACTTTAATTATTTAGAATATTAACCAGACACATTACAGTTCAGTTTTGATTGATTTTATTTAAAAAAAAACTTTATAAAATTATATTGAGCAGCAGCATAATCCTGTTAATTCCTAACATGTTCACATTTACTCAAAGTACATTGAAACATGGCTGCACGGAGCTCAAACGACGATATCTAGCGCCCCCGTGTGGCAGAAAGATGCTAGCCAAACACCCACATGGAAAACAATTTAATTTAGGCAATTATTTTTCAATTTCCTCTTCTGACTTTTTCTTATTTTCACTTCTCAAGTGTAATTTGGACACTTTTATTTAATATGGTAAAAATATTTAATTCAATTAAATGACAAAAAAAAACAACGTAAGGGGGAGAAACTGAGGAACCTTAAAACCTTCCAAGGATGGGATGAAAAAAATGAAGTGCAACACATCAGATAAATAGAATATATGGCAGGAAATAATTTAACTGTGCACAGAATTCAGTGTATTCATTAAAGATAAGAAATGGCATGTTTCGGTCTAGTGTTTGGCAAAAATTAAGTCTGTTTTTAAAATTCTGCTGCCTTCAACCGATTTTGTAGACAAGTGTCTCGACAAGCTGGATCCCACAGCAGGAAGGACAGAAGCCGTGATTCACAGGCCGTGAACGGCGCCTACTTCTGTCAGCATCTTTGTCACAAAGGCAAAAACAAACAAACAAAAAAAAAAAACACTAAGTTTTGGTAACAGTTTCTTTCCTTTTAGATTTTTTCAGAGTGATCACTAATGACGTAAAGCCGTTTAAAACAAAAAAGGTTTTCTAAATGAACCCAGAGTCCACAGGTTTGGAACATAAACGTCTTAAATAATCCTAGCTTTAGATTCCTAGCTTTGGTTTTTGGTTCTAATCATAAAATATTTTCGATTTACTCCGAGCAGAGATGCTTTAAAAGGCTTCAAGTTCTCTCACTGGACGACGAGGAGGCAAAGAAACCTTATTTAGGCAGAGAAAAATAAGCTTACATCAGGTTTCGTATGTGAAATTTCAAAGATTTAGTTCATCTTGTAACAAAAAGACGGTGTCATTTTCGAAAACCTGATTTTTTTCTCAATTTTTTCGTCCCGCACCGACAACCTGATTTTCAACAATCGTAATGAAACTCCAGCACAAACCAGAGCTTAAAAATCAACCACCCAACCGTGCATCCCTCCTCCCCAAACGATTACATCACCAGGTAAATAATTAGAATGCAACATGAAGATTTTCCTTCAACTCAAAGTGAACATTTTCAGGAGGTTCTTACTTTGAAAGTCTCACACATCCTGGAAACCAACCTAAAATCTTATTAACTATAATAATAATAATAAAAACCCTAACTAAACAGCATATATACATTGTCTTGTGTACTTGGGACCAGCTTTAAACCGTCAAAAATGACTCGGACTTGCAGAACAAATTTCATTTTCTGATTGTTAATTGGATAAAGAAATCCCAGACTCTCCGATTGCATAGCAGTGGCCAACAGGAAGTTGGCGACATCTCTCACCTTCGCAACGGAAAGCGGGAATATTTACAGGCGGGGGAATGTTGCCGACGCTCGCAGCGTTTCGTTCGCGGTAAAAATGGAAACTGATCGGATTCAAAGAGTCGCCTGTCAGCCCTGAAACATTCAAGACGGGTACAAAAACTTTTCTAGAGAGTAGAGTCATGACTGTGTCGAAAAGAAAAAAAAGAAGCAGAATGAGGTAACTTCTTGTAGTGCGACTAACTACACCTTTCAGCAACAATGGCGCCCCTTTGAGGTTGTTGCTGTAGGCACAAGAGTAAGTCCACCTGGTTGCCTCTCCGTGTGTCTTTGCACAAACTTCCCCCTCCGTTTCCTCTCAGGACTTCCTCTGCCGCAGCGCGTCGGAGCTGCCGTTCAGTTTGCTGCGGCCCGACGCCGCCCCAGCCGCTCCGGCCGCCCCCACCGGGCTGCCGTTCCCCAGCTGGCGGTCCCAGTCCACGGGCATTTCCTGTTTGCGCCGGCGCGTCTCTTTGTAACGGAGCGTGATGTCACTGTGAAGTTGGGAAGGACAAGAAATGAAGAGTTAGCCCTGTGGTTTGTCTTAGGAGTGAATTTCCTTGACAAGAACAAACAATGTAGTGGAGGAAATGTAAAAGTCTAGAAAAAAAATACATGATTTCAGTCGGATTTTAGAATTTGAAACAAGAAAATGGGAGCAAAAAACCCAAATATGATGCATTCCTGAAAAATAAATGGCATGCTTATATCTAGCTCTCGTAATCGTAAAAGGCCACAGACTCCTAAATTCATCTAAATATGATCAATTCTGTCCTTATTGTTATCTGCCAAGCGGCAACTAAACCACTTAGTGTAACCACTGCAGTGATGAATTAACTAAAGTTGTAATTTGAGAGCTTTGTGTGTTTGTGAGGCTCTGAATTTGTTCAGTTTGACTTGCAGCCAGTAGGGAAATTTATAGTGTTTCTTATTTATGTGAAGGAAAAGTGGAACTAGACTGACTGTCATTAATAACAGCAAATGTAGGGTAGTTATTTTAGACGCTGCTGGGGCGGCCAGCTTGTGTTTTAAAGTGGGAAGGTGAAGGCAGACAGTGTAAATAGGTGAAACAGTTTTTGTCATGTTGGATTTAAGATGCTTTGCTGCAGACAGGTTCACACAGTCCAGACTGTGGAAATCCATTTGGCTGCTATTCAAAGTTTATTCATTTTATTTTCATTTAAAAAAAAAACAAAAAAAAACAGACTTGAATAGGCCTTGACCAGGAGTCTCCAATCTCTGGATATTTGATGACAGCTCTAATAAGGGGTTAAAAATGATAAAGAACCAATTTTGTCATTTTAAATAAACATAAGAAAAAAAGATGCCAAAAGTTTACAGCTTTTATGGAGTGACTGGATTAGATTTCTACAACAAAATGACACTGAACGTTTTAGGTTTAGCCTCATAAACCTATGAGGCTATTTCCACGTATTTCCACATTTCTACAGAAATCTTAGGTCTGTAGAAATGTTAAAATAATAATAGTTCACTAAAGTGCATTGGCAGAGTTTACTGAGGACAGAAGGATGGACAGATATATGAATGCGCATTTTAACTGAGTTTAAAAGGAAGAGACGAAAAGTCTGGAGAACAATGTTTTTCTGTTCTCTGTTCAGACTTTGAAAATATTTATATCAAGATTCTCACTTTTCCAAGTCTCTCCAGGACCTTTTAAATAAAACTTTTAACTAAATAACTGATTCCCACTTCAAAAGAAGTATCTAGAATATTCTCAAGAAAAAGGCAAACATTATTTGCATAATTTTTATCTAGAAAATACAAATCAGAGACTTAATTTTATACTGACGCAGTTTTATTCCTCTTTTAGCCGCTTTATCCAAAAGTACATGTAAGGACGCTAAAAGCACTCCCAGAAATCCAAAAATGTCAAAACGTATATCTTTCAAAGTACAGTGAGACGAGAACAAACTCGACTCTCTTCTCACCGGATGAAGAACCTCCACAGGGTCCAGATGAGGATGAGGAAGATGCCCAAGAACCAGCACTGCATAACGGAGAAGGGGATGGGCAGCATGAGGGTGTGGGGGTCGTACTTGACCACGATGAGGAACTCCGTCACCGTTATGGCCGACACCAGCCACGCCTGCTGGCCCAGCTTTTTGTGGAACTTCCTGTTGGGAGAAGTCACACGACGTGCGATTACGGCAAATCGATCCGAGCCGGACGGACGGACGTCTGGAGCGATAACTCCGGTACTGACGGGTCGTCCATGAAGTCGTAGATCTCCCTCATGGCCACGCCGCCCACGTTGACGAAGAAGACGAGGCGCAGCAGCACCAGGTAGTGTTCGGGAGGCATCCACAGCACGAACTTCAGGTAGAAGGTGTTCAGCTCCGCCAACAGGAACTATGAGGAGAGGAGGTCGAAAAAAATAAATGTAAATGAATCCAGGAGCAAAACAAGGGAGAGAAAACTTAAAAACAGAGGAAAAATTTGCATAAAATGTATTTAAATGTCTTCTAAAGCAAAAGGTATGAAAATTCTATAGTCCAAAGGGACTTTTTTTGTATTCTTAGTGCTGCTAAAAAATTTATTTTTGATGAATGAGAAGTTATTTTTTAAGAGTTGACATGTTATTTCTATTTTTTATTGTTACATTTGAAAAGAAAACACCAACACAAGATGTTTGAAAACAGACAGTGTTTGTCTTCTACAGCATGCTAACATTTCTAGAAAATGACCTAAAATTAAAGCATCTAGTTTCCAGCTAATGACACATTTTCAGGCAGATATAAAACCTTAAAGATGTTGTGATTTTTTTTCTGTTAAAAATAGTTTCTGCTATAAGATGAGGGGTTTTTTCAGCTGTATTGAAATGCTTATTTCACTAAACTGCAATTGAAACAATTTTTTTGGCATCACACAAGTCATGTGATCAACAACCGGATGTTGCTACTGGCAGAAATGACAAAGACGACAACAGGAAGTGGCAGGAGGATGAAGATGTGACATGTTATTAATGACTAATCGAATTCACATGCGATTTTAATTTTGTTTCTTATTTAATAGAAACACTGCAATTGCAAAATTGTATTTTTCTTACATTAGTGAAATATTAAAGTTTTGAACACATTTGTGATGGAAACACAGCTATTGCAGGCAGCTCCAGAGTTACACGGCCCTTTTCTAAAGGCTCTGCCACGTTGCACAGTTAAGCTTTTCACATTTCATCACACTACAATCAAAATCTTCAGTGCTTTTAACTAATCATGCGACTCCAAATGTGTGTAAACTAATCTCAGCATAAACAAGAGCCTCAAAAAGAAGAAGAAGAAAAAAAAAACACTTTAAGAATATGAACTTTGGTTTGACAACATTTTAAAAAAAGAACTAAGGAGTATGAATAGTTCTGCAAAACACTCCACACAAGCATTCTTGTCGGAGCTTTGGAATCGTTTCGCAATGTGGCGACTGCCCAAAATGACCCAAAGTCCTTCCAATCGGTAGTGAGATCTCGTTACCATGAAGATAATCCCCAACACAGCGAGCCAGCGCCGAAGGTCTGAAGCCGGCCTCCACTCGAACTTGGCCCAGCTGTACGGTGTGAACTGGAATGCTATGCGCTTTATCTTCCCCCTAGAAGGTAAAGTGATTAATAGGTGGTTAGAAATGTGAATAAATATAAAAATATAGCAGCTAAAAATAAGAAATTGATAAAATCCTGCATTTTTTCCCCCACAGTTTTACACAAATCCGACTTTTTCTTTAATCATTTCAGCCACTTTATTAAACAAAACAAAAACAAAAAACACTCGTATTGAAAGAAAGAACGATTTCCAGGTTACTCTGGACTTGTGTAAAACTCTGGCAGACTGAACTGAAGCCTTACTTGTACGTAGGAATGTTCCAGAGGCCCTGCCACTGGTACGGCTTCATGGACAGCCAGGCCAGTGTCTTCATGCCGCAGTAGATCCCCAAACCGTTGCACACCAACACATCCATGATCCACTGGGGGAGAATAGGGTTTGTTAAAAAGGTCAATGAGGTCAAGCCGCAATCCACTCACATGTTGTTGGCTTACAACTTTTATCAGGACAAAGTGGGCATCAAGAGACAGACATCCTGATGATTCCTCTGTTAGCGTTGTTAAAGAAAAGGGAAATGATCCTTTCAGAAATGTTGTTTTATAGGCCAAACCTTCCCTCATGTATTATTCAAGGTTTCTGTAGGTTTTACCAACTCAGAGTTGACTTTTTAAGACCATTTCTTTGGAATCCATAATTTTTACTTGTGTTTATTTTGCCAGTCTGTGTAATTAAAACTAAGCAGCAAAATGAAAGAGACAAACAGGACTAAGATATCAAATTAGATAAAGAACCTTTTGCACAATTACCAATCGTTATTTTACTGACATATAGCCTTAATTATAGCTCCAAGCGTCTTATCTCTGGTGTGTTGGGATAAAGAAGGAAGCAGTGGCTGTACGCACATGGTCCCACCAGCACTCTGAGAAGTTTGGTAGCTGGTGCTCCAGGCTGTATTCCAGGAACTCAAACATCACACTGATGATCATACACATCCACCAATCCCGAATCATCAGCGTCTGACAGGAAACACAAGACGAAAAACCTGTTAAAGGTGAGGCTGATCAGAGTGACAGGGCGTCTCCATCTTCAAAATGTCAGAGTGGATCTTCATAGTAATAACTGCAAAGAAGTTCTTCCATTAAAATAACATATTGAAGATTCTGATGTCGTATACTCAGATTATTTTTATTTATTTATTTTTTTGTTCCTCCTTTATAAAATTATCTAAGTATTTTTGGTGTAGTTTCTAGGGCAGAGGTGTTAAATTCATTTTCGTTTTGGACCAAATCCAGATCATGAATGCTCTTAAAGGGCCGGATGTGCCAGAATGTATTGGTAAAACTCATTCACAAACTGTTAAAATATTAATTAATGATTTAAATTAAACATTTTTTAACATCTTTTCGGTCCCTACAAGATTTTGTGATTCTTTTTGTGATTTTTTTTGCAATAAAAATGAACATTTTTATGGTACTAATTTGGAAAAATTTGCAAGATGTGCGCTTATTTATGACGGTAAATGTGACTTTATTATTTTCTGTACAGATCACGGACTATAATTGGACATCCTTTAACGCTGAGGCAGCTGTTTAGTACAAGTAAAAGTTTTTAACAACTTGAGAAAAATCTGCAATAAACTAAATTATCGGAGGGATTTGTAAAATTTCCGTGAAAATCCTACAAAAAACAGGAGGGACTGATTTATATAATTTGTCAGTAAGCGGATTTAAAAAAATGCACTGATTTGAATGATTACATAATATTTAAAACACAGAGTTTGGTCAAGAATCAGAGGGCCACATAAAAATCTATGGTGGGCCAGATTTTGCCCACAGGCCTCGAGTTTGACACATGTTTGAGGGCAAGTATCTTAGTACACTTGAAATAAAATAAAACTAAGTTACAAGTAACTTTTTTGCAATGATTCCTTAATATTGTTTTTTTTTTTAAATTTATAGTTCCATTGGTAGATTATTTCACAAAAAAGAAAAATGTCTATAAGTAAAATAATCTGACAAAGAAGCTAGTAACTCTTTTTAAGGAATTATTGTCTTATAACGAGAAAAGTTACTTGCAAGTCAGTGCAAATTGCACTGCAAAAACGATGATTGTTAGATAAACTGTCGGTGTTTACCTTTATGTACCATCCCAGGAAGTGAGCTGGAACGAAGCCATCCATCTTATCCTGCAGAAACAAATCGATTTCCACAATGTGCACAATCAGGATTACAAGTCTGTGAAGCTACAGCTGCTTTGGTAACAAATATGATCTTTGCACTTATTGATAACTTCTTAAAAAGCAACAGAGACACAGAGCGGAGCTGACAGACGAGTCAGTCGATATCCGTCTGTGAAACAGTGTTTCCTTCAGCTTCTCCTCTGGGTCATCATCTCTCTGGAGGATCTGGAGCAGAAACTACTGATGAACAATCTTTTATCTGAGCAGGGACTGCTTCAAGAAAAATCAACCTATTATCAACCTTGAGGGTGCCAAAGCTAGCCTATTTATAAAAACAGGAGAAAACGCAGCGACTAAGTGGATCATGAATGCTCAGAACTACTTTCTGTTCTTCCATTTTGTCTTTTAACTAGCAGTAGTTGGATTTTTCTACCCGATTCAAGCAGGCAGGAACTATATATGATGTTTCTCTTAAACATCTGATTCCAATTCACCATGTTGGAAGTGGTGGACTGACCCACTCGGAGGCTGCAATAAATAGAGAGGGTTCTGGGTCACTGCAACAGATGCTGAGAGCAATCCCAAAGGAAAAGAAGTCCCGGTTCTTCTGGAGGTCCGGAAAAAACTCAGGCTTTTGGAGTCGGTCACATGAATGCAGCTGAATGCGCCGTCTGTGAGCCGCACATGGAGGTCAAATATTAGTCATGCTGCAAGTGGCTCTTTGGACCTTTCAGAATGGTTCTAAACAACAAACTCAAGTTGTTTTGTCCAGTTTTTCTTTTTGTTCTTTCAAAATTATATTTAATTTCAACAAAAAAGACACTAACAGAATGCATAGTACGCTTTTAAATCTGTTTTTCCTCTGTTGGGATCCAAGTGCTTTATTATTATCAGTAGTATTTTATTTAATTTGTTTTACATAATTTGCCATCCAACAGGAAGAAAAGAGATCCATGCTCTTTTTCCTAAATGTTATGTCTAGCTTTATTGTCAATCCTAAAAATAAAAATAAAATAGTGGTTCTGTAAATATAACAAATATCATTCAGTAGATATTTTGTCTAAAATTGTCAAAAGACAAGTTTCATTTTGCTTGCCTGAGAGTTAAAATCTGTTTTAGTTGACAAAGTTTCAGACCCCTATTCCAGAAGCAGCAACATACTTCAGATTACGATCTCTCAGAAAGGCCCAGTCAAAGTACAGCTCTAAATCCAGTTGTGATTTTGTGCTTAGATTTGAAAAGCACATCAATGCTTAAGATTAGAAACATGACATAAAAGTTTCCACATTTTTTTTAAGGCATTCAAACGTGAAATTCACTGAAACACATCAGACTCTCACCCAGAGGTTGTGAAAAGGATCCGTGGCGTTGCCCGGGTCGTAAATGAGGCAGTTTCCTCCATAGTCGCGCTCAGGCAGCGCGACCCCTAGTTTAGGGTCGATGTACTTCATGAACTGTCGTCCATCATGCACCGTCTGTTTTATAACATTGTAAAGAAGAAAAACACTAACGTTACTTGAAAAGAAGCTCTTTTGCAGATATATGGAGGACTGATCCTGCCAAAATTGTCAACATACAAAAAAAAATAAAAAAATTAATGGCTTGGGAAAGTAATTATTGTGCCAAATATTGTAAAATATTTAACACATTTTAATTTTTTAATTAGTCACCTTTTATCTTTCAGATTTTTTATTTACTTAACTGTTTTTAAAAAATGAATGTTTCGCTACATTGATATCAGCAAAACTATATCAACGTAGGATGAACAAATGGCAGTAGATTTATAAAACATCTTGAATACAGAATATGAAAACCAAAAAAATTTTGATTGGAAATAAAATTAAAAATTACACACTACATAATGTAGTAATCTATAGAAGTTATTATTTTTGGATATTTGGCACATTAATTACTTTAATAAGCTATTTATTTATTTATATATGTTTTCAAAATTTGGGCAGGATCAGTCTTCCGTACCGAACACGGTGATCTTATTAGGGCATCAAACTTTCATCAGGTTTTAGCTTTACTGGAGCTGTTGGCCAGCTGGCTGACCTCTCTACACTGCAGATCAGGGTTGGCTTCTTGACATTTTAATTAAAGTAGGAGAGAGAGAAAAGAGGCTTCCAGTGACAACCACATAGAAACACCATGAACTGAAGCAAAAATCAGTAAAAAAACCCCAACAAAATCTGACATTTGGCTGATGTTTAGGATGTCTTAACAGCTTCCATCCAGTACATCTGTGAGCAGTCCCTGCTCAGATTTAAAGGGAATGAAATCAAGTGTTTAAAGTTTCACGGTCAGAAACGGCCTACAAATTAGAGCTATTTGTGAAACACTTTACATGATTGGACACACACCTGAAAGAGGATGAAGATGAGGAAGAGTTCATAGGCGACACTAACACAGAGCCAGAACCGCCAGTAAGCTGAGGAAAAAGAACAAACATGAGTCATTTAAAAACATTTAGTGTTTGTAGATTCAGCTCATTAAAGTTATCAGTGGTGCATTCACACCAGCCGTTTGGGCCCTGGAAAGTCCGGTTCGTTCGGTGAGGTATGGACACAGCGAACTCTGATGCAGACCAAAAAAGCAAACTCTGGTCTGCCTAAAGAGTTAGCCATCGGTTTCATTATTATGAACTCTGATGCAGTTCTGATGCATGTGTGAACGCCAAATGGACCGGAGACCGCTCCAAAAGCAGGACGCGGACTACAGCGCAGGGCATTGTGGGAAAATGCAACCAAAATAAATATGAGTCAAGTGCAAGAGGGCGAAATGGCTCATGAAAAACAAAGGAGAAATCCTACAACTGCTAAAATCTGATGCCACTCCATTTTTGTTTCCATTTTCTTGAAGGAAGCTGAACTCATGACTTCTACAGAGGTTTATCAATTAGTCTGGATCGTTCACACAGTGCAGTGTGAAAATGTAACAAATGTTGCTATATATAGATATGTATATACACTTCTGCTTCTTTTATGGAGCTGCTCAGACAAATCTAAGCATCACTAAGCTGGACCAGCTGTTACTGAAACCTCAGTGCCATGGGGACAAAGAAATATTTCTATCTCTTGGTTCTCTTGAGCATCAACCTGTGTGCGGCTGAACGAGTTTCTCCGGCTGCTGATGATGGAGTCGATGGGTGATTCTTCTCTTGACAGTTTCCCTGAAGACTCCGGGTTCAAACCCAGATCCCAGGACCAGCCCAACAACTTTCTTATCAGCTCCTCTGGGGGCTAAACCTGCTTCCTGTGCGGTTGCATGTCTGCTACGTGTCGCACATGCAAATAAACGGGGAGCCACAGCACTCAGCGGGTTCCTATTTAGATTAGTTTGTTTTGCTTTTGTCGAAGTGTTTGAAGCACTTTCCCATCTGTGTGCCTTCTGGACACAATAAGATCGCTGGATCAGGTGTTGGGTTTCTTACATGCTGCTGTTTTCTGGAGCTAATATTATTACATTTGACTAGACTAATTTTCTCAACTGTGCAGTCTTAAAAAAAAAAAAAGAAAGAAAATAAAAACTGGCATATAAGTGATGCTTCCATTAAAGCAGCACCTAAAGTCGCCTACCTGGCAGATCAAGAAGTCACACCTCATCTCACTCAACAACTGACTCCACAGGGACGTGAAGGCAGGAAGTATAGGAAGAAAACAACAGGCTTCATAGGACCGATGCGGCTGCTGTCACTTGTTGTGTGTTGTTGTTAGGTTACGGTTGTTGCGCGACTTCTTTGTGCTACTCTGATGTTCAGGTGCGTACGAGATCACGCCATGTTAAGCACACTCCCCGACCTGTTGAGCGAGTCCAGTCATTTCTGCTGCTAATCCTAATGCTGCATTTCTATTGTTACTCTGACTGATTTCAAGGGGGAAAAAAAGAAGGATTTTCAGATTTACAACCTGAAGCTCCTAATAAATCGCGGTCGCAGGGAGCGGCACAATGACTGAGCTCCTCAGTAACGGCAGCAGCTGAACAAATGCAAATCATCTTTCACTGAAATTGAATTTTCTGTGGTATTTCTTAACGGATTTGCGTCCGACAGAATGCACGACAAGAGATCTAAAAAAATCCTAATCATTCATTTTTAATGTGGTATATTCTGCCATTTCAATTTTGAATGAATGACGACAGAAAAAAATAAGGAAACACTGAATATCAAATATCATTTTTGATCCATTTTGACGAAAGCAGCGACACATTTTAGCTGATTTCAAATACTCTGTAAGAACTAGCATGGAAAAAAATAACTAAAGAATAATTATCTTTCTTGCAGTGAGACGATCTCTAACTTCATGGAAAGCAGAGGTGATGCCACAGCTGCTGTAAAACAGGTTCTGTTATTATAAACAAAAGAGTCTGGCATAACAGATTAGCTCTGATCGTCTCTCTGGGTTTCCTGTAGAGCTCAGTCTGACTCCCAAGATTTCAAACATTTTCAAATTCAGGATGAAAACTCAAAAAGATAAAAGAAAGCAACTTGAATGATTTGGAGGCATGGCATTATGTTTTAAAGAAAATAATCATTCCTTGAGTTTTACATTCTCACACTTCACTGACACTGAAACTAGCTTGTATTTAGGCTTCACGTCTTTACTTGACGGCGTGTGCATAAGACTGACATGACACTGTCCAACATGGCATAACACCTGTTAAGAACATGAAGACGTCTTTAGGGATGTTTGTGACTGTTGTCATGTAGTGTCTTCCAGTAAATAATGACACTAATAATGGAAAGTTGATCATTTTAATGCACTTTTAATACAAGTTTTAGTGCAAACATTGCATTAAGTGTCATTTACTGAAGGTGTGCACAGTTGTAAACATTCATAGACTCCTTCACATTTATGACAGGTTTTATGTCACGTTATGACAGTGTCATGTCAGTCTTATGCACACCCCGTCAACCAGTGTTACTAACTTCAGTCAGTAACGACGTCCAAATTGAAGAGTGGTGTTGCTACAGCAATCTGTTTCAATGTGTCGCGTTTACCATTCAGAAAAAAAATATTACAAGTCTGAATAATTGATTTTTGTTTCTCCAGGCCAAACATTTTCATCTGATTTCTTGTGGCTTTTCTAATCAGAGAGCATCTCAGATGTTGAGTAGCGAACCAGATTAGGCTTTCTGGATTTCTAATAATATTCAGTTTCCATCTGCACTATGAATGTTTTTCATACACCAGGCCTCAGTTATGAAAACACCATAAGACACCTGCTATAGAAGCTGTGAAGGACAATGAGTAAAGAAAAATCTAAAGACATGTTATTTTTCCTGAGAGGAGCTGAGCTCATTCATAGAGCTTAATACGGATTTGGCTGATGGGTCCAGAAACCAGTAGGACTGTTGATTGTTTGCCTCAATAACTCCAAAAATGACAAAAATAAAAAATAAAAAAACAAAAAAAACCCTAAAATGATTCATTTCTATAAAGACTTGCAACCTCATCACCAACATTTGACTACAATGTAACATATAAAAAGATATTATCTATTTCTAATGAATAGTCTGTCTTTGTAATTAAACGTCAAAGTTATAGAGAGCTGGCAGCTAATTTTGTTTGGAGCCACTAAAAGGTTTGATTTGAAGGGAGGAGCCTAATTATCAGGCCAATTCATCTGACCAATCAGAGCAAAGGAAGCTGTCTGGTGAGGGCAGCTGGCCTTGACCTTTCACAACACAGTGAAGGTCAGAGTAACTGATACTTAATGACATGATGTCAGTGTCAACAGAAAAGCTTTGGACACTTTAACAGCATAAGTGTCTGAAGAACTACTGCAGAGTAATAGAGACATTTTAATAGTAGTTTTTATAGTAATCTGATAAATATGGTTGTGTGTTTGGATTAGTTTATTGTTAGTGACTTAATGTAAAGAAAGATTTTATTTCAAAGTCATCAATGTAAAATAAATATCTTCATGTTGGGTTAGATAACTTTGCCTAAATATAAAATTTTAGTTTTTCCAACCAGATCTGACTTTAAATGATTTTTTTTTCTTGCTTTCCTCTTTCAAAAAAAGTATTTTCTGAAGGAGGTTAGTCTTTCAGTCTTCCTTTTATTACAAAATAATAATAAAAATATTTTACCAGAAAATAAACAAAAAATTACAATTTTAATGAGAAATAAAAACTTGGATAAAATTATCAGGATCTGGTGTGAGCAGTTCAGCTTGCACAATTTGAAAGATAGGTTATTGATAATAATTTGATAACAGATTAAATATTTCCATTAAATATGAGCACGGCTTGTACCAAAATATAACTTCACAAGATGCTCAACATTCCTCTTTCTATTTTAGCATTTTTTGTGTTGACATCTCAGGAAATTGATACTTTATTCTCCTAATACCAAGACTGTATTATTGTATTATTACTTTAGTATCTTAATTTAAAGCATATTAATAGCCAGGACCTGATATTATCTCATACAGATGGCCTGAATTAAATATCCATATAAAAAGAAGATGCAAGACAGTCCTGTCAAACAAAATGGTGGGCTATGTCCATGCTGACATCAACCTGAACTACAGTAATTGAAGGAGTGTATTGGTAAAAAACAGAAAACAAGCAAAAAATACTGTGTTTTCAAAAAAATGTAATCTTTAAAACCCAAAAATTTATTCTTTTTTGACCAAACAGAACAGATGTGATCAAATTGTTCGTCCTACCTGGATGGGGTCGGGTGAAGGGTCCATCTTTGGCCTGCGTTACCCCAAAACAGAGGAACACCAAGATGCTGGCCACAATGCCTCTGCAATGATCAAAGAGATGGACAGGGTTCCTTTCAGGTTTATTTTAATTCATATATAATGGAAAAAAAAATTCAAGGGGTTCCCATTCTTTTTCTCTCTCATTTGAACAGATGTTATGATTGGAGTCGATCAGGAACCCGAAGCGAAGACTAATTTTTGGGTTTATGCAGGTTTCACCAACTCAAATTTAAGACCTGCTGAAGATAAAAAGGCAGAACTGTAGAAAAGGAACAAAGGAGATCAAAACGGACATTTTTGGAGAATTTCTGTGGCTTTGAAGCTTCATGCTTTTCATATTACTCTCTAGCTAACAAGTTAGCTAGAGAGCAATATGCTAGCTGTCTTGTTCATTTGCTTGCTAGCTAGCAAGTAAGCAATCACACCAGCTAGCTAGTATTATCTAATGGTAATATTAGTAGTACTACTAGTATTAGCTCATACAAACAGTATGAAGCAGTTATTAGCTCGTACTAGTAGCATGAACTACTGCTAGTAGTTTTAGCCAGTACCAGCTAGCTAGTATTGGCCGCTAGTTGCATGTACCCTCAAGAACACAGTGAGTGAAGATGTCTGTGCACAACTCAAACTATTGCCTGATAAAAACATCCTGCAAGAAAAAGACCTGCCTAATACAAGATTAATTGTGCTGCTATCACAAAATTTAAAACTTGTGATTAACATTGTTATTTTCCTAAAACAATGGCCCGAGTCATTTTTTGTCAAAAGTGACTTTTTTTTCTTTTGTTGCAAAAATCACTTCAGGCAAAAAATGACATAAGCTGTTATTTTCAGAAGGTGACAATATTTAAGGCCAACTTACATTTTCGTTAATGAATTTAAGAAATTTCAAGGCCTTAACTTTAGATTAATGAACTCATGACTTTTTAAGGATGCACAGATACCCAGAATCAGAGCCACGTTGTGTTAGGTGATGGTACCAGTCTGAACTTACAGCGTAGGTAGGGATTAGTAGCCAGACGTCAGCTAAAATTAAAGCCAGTGCTGCTTTGCCAGCGAGTCTAGTCACATGAGTGTGACTGATTGTGCAAGTGTGTGTGGGAGGAGAATTAAGTGTGTGAGTTTGAGGAGAGGAGTGCTGCATGTAAACGTTCAAAGTGGGAGCAAACTAGTTAGAGGCAGAAAAAGTAATGTCCTATAGAGTGAGTGTGTGTGAGTGTGTGCATATAAGAGTGGATCTTTATCCCGACGAGCCGGACTCTGCTGACGGCAGCAAATCCCGTTAAGAGCCTTCTTGCAATCTCTCACAGACGCATCAACAAACAAAACGCATCACCGGCTACAACTTCCTGGGAATCTTTCTATTAGACTCATAAAACACACAACCATCCTCTTATAGAAGTAAATAAAGCTAAAAATAAAAATAATTTAAAAAAAAAACATACAGGAAGCTACGCCGCCCTCCGACTTCTAAAACAAACACAGAGCAGAATTTGATGTGATTCAGTCTGCCTTTTGGGTCTGAACCATTAGAAAAGGTTTCAGACAACTTACACATTCAGCCTCTTATCCACCTGGTAATACTGTCAGAGGAAGGCTTAATGCAATTTAACAGGCAACAAACTGACCCAAGAACAGAAGAGGGACTATAAATGCTGCTGCCGTCCAAGTCTGAGGAGCTGCAGGCTGTTTTTTTTTTTTTTTTTGCCACCGGTTTTCCAAGACAAACATCACTATATTTTAGTGGTTCTGGCACAAACAGACTAAAGTGAATCACATGGCAGCTGCTGGGCATTCCTCCCAGTTTCTGAGGCTTCACAGTTCTATAAAATCCACACACGCTCATCTTGAGTTACAATTGAGGGATAAGTTCACAACGTAATGGGTTAGTCACCTGCAACAAGCATATTTAGCATAAAATTACATAAGATACCTCTAGCTATGTTGTGACTCGTACAAAGAACATCAAATTTACCATTAACTTGTTGTAACTGACAATATGCATAGTGAATTTCTGGCGACCTGAAACATGTTTCAGATAATTAAATTTAATATCTCACTTTTTATTTCAACTGGTCATTATTCTGAGTAAAGGCACCATAATTTAAACCATCTAAAATGTATTTTAGATAGGAGATGCATAGATTCGACCAACTAAATCACAGATATCTTGAAAGCAAATAATGACGAGCGAAAATTAAGAGTTCAACATTTCTCTGAATTAGATTTGACTATTCAAAGGTCCTTCAAAGATATCTCCAAATAAAGTAGAGATGTAGCATTCTGAAATTTCAATAAAACAATAAAAACTTTTTTTAATGAAGAAAAAGAATGGGAATATGACAGCCTCACTTTTCAAAGCTGTTTTTAACTGCATTGTGTTTGTCAGAGGATGATAAATAGGAAATTCTTTGCAGATTTCTGAAGCACTAGAATGAAGTTCTGCATTCGCTATTGCTGAGATCTTCCCATATTGCAGCATTTTCTGACAGTTTTATGTGGGACACTCAAACTTCTGCAGGCAGCTGTTAGGACACCCAAGTGCCAGAATATGTGGGGCTTAAGCTCAAATGTAATTTTAACTAGTTGTAATTACGTTTGTGATGTCTTGTAATTACGGATGTTTGATGCTTCAAATGACCAAGCCGGTGACATCAGGTGTGATATCTGGGAAAGAATTTTGACTTGTGAAATTAAAATCTTGAATTATTATTCTGAGTGGTCAGAACGTGAATGAAGGTGTTGTAAATTATCATTCGAGATGGCCAGAATATAGTTATCGCTAGACAAAAATTTTTTTAAAATATCTACGTCTGCCTATCCGTAGATAGGCAGACGAAGGCGATTTTATGTTAAAACAGCCTGCCATAAGTCACCAGTTACAACACTTTTCCTCTTTGTGGTTTTCACTTTGCCAGTTTCAAAGCTTTTTCTCCGAGTCCTCTTTACGTTTGCACCATTAGCCTGACTAATTAAAAACGCACTCGCAGAAAATTACTCAAAGACAAACTGAACGGAAACAAATTGAGTCAGTTAATAGTTTTCCTCCTCTGATAAAGTGCTTCCATCCACATAGCAGGAAGCATAATCCAATCAAGCAGCTCCAGCTGTTTAATGGAAAATTTCCTGCCCTTCTCTCGGGGGTCAGGCGAAGAGGGGGAGGAAGAGACAATGACCTTTTAGTGTTGTAGGCCGTGTCCTGAGGCGTCTCTTCCAGGAGCGTGACGTAGACCAGGGCGCAGGTCAGAATAAACAGCACTGTCAGGGTGTGGGCTCGCCTGCAGGGGCAGAGAGAGAGATGGCCAAAATGAGATTAGTGCCATTTATAGATGAAACCCGTTTTGATGCTTGAATCCTGGCGGGACGGCGGCCATGTTTACACAAGGTTCTGCCAGCTGAGATCTTCTAAAAGTCGGCCGAGGGGAACGATTTGGAGAAAAATCCGGAGCAAAAGCTGCAGGACTTTATTTCTCTGGAGTGTTTTGCAAGAACATTCAGACCTTTTTTTTTATCATATTCTAACAGCCAGATTCATGTCATTTTATGACAGACCAGCAGCAGTTTGATGCAAAAATGTAAAGGTGACAGATGTATCACTAAACAGTTTCCATCTTTATGTTCAGCAATAATCAGACCAGAGATCCAGGGTAACTCCAGAGATCTCCTGGCTAACCTCTTTGCCACAAGCTGGACAGATGCACAGCCAATGCATCTCATAAGGAGAGAGTTTAAACTTTTATCCCTAAATTCAAAACTATTCATGTTTAGATTGAAGAACATTTACATGTTAAAGAACTCCATCATGTTTCCATTGGAAAAGCAACTGCGTTCACTTGAACCAAACTGAGACCTGACTTTCTAGACGGACCAGAGTTCGATTGCACATTCACACCTCCCCAAACAAACCAGGCTTGATAGACTAGTTTGCCAAAGAGGGCTGGTGGAAATGCACCCAAAGTCGAGACCTAAACCTGCAGGCAATCTGTGGCAGGACTTAATACTTCAAGACCAACTATGAAAGCCAGAACAGGCAAAAACAATTTTGCCTGCATGCATGAAGGGAGAATAGACAGACCCCAGAAGAAGTACAGAGGTAATTGTAGAAAACGGAAGTTCAACAAAGTGTTGACTACAATATACACACCAAATATGCATCATTCTTACTTGAATTTTACCATTATGAGTTGCTTTGTGTTGCTCTAACACAAAAAAAGTTCATTTTTTAGGGGAGATTCTTCTGTCTGGAAACTAATAAATAAAGTTTAGCTACAAATAAACTACAGATGGTTAAACTCCTCATCTAGGTTGTTGCACAAACGTTGTTTCTACGATATAGACCATCGACTTTCCTCATGAACCTACAAACAATGACCAAACTTTGGCCTTTATCATGGTGTCACTCTGATATCTTGTGCATTACTATCTATAGACAGATTTGCTGCGAGGGCAAAGTTTTATTTGACCACTTATTGATACTGCTAGGGCTGATTGCCTCCAGCATAAGAAATGAAGTACCGTTCCAATTGGAGCGATGAGCTAAATGTACAGAGAGAGTCGTTGTCAGTTAGGACTTTAAATTAAACTTTTCAGCTTCACTTTCTGCTTTTTCCTTTTTAACATAAAGGAAACATATGTTGCATAAAACATATTGTTTCCTTCTTTTAAGGGCATAAAAGCAAGTGGTAATGTGAAGCTAATTAACATTTTTGACACTTTGAAAATGTTTTTTTTCCAATTTGATTTCTGCTCTTATAAATTTTTAAAATAGTTTGACCTGGAGATGCATGAACTGTAATATTGGAGATTTTATGGTGATTTTTAGAGCTAAAATACCCCAGATAGAATCCCATTACTGTCAAAACAAAAATCTAATTTACAAGACAAAAAATGAAAGCTGTATGCGCTCTTAGATTGTGAACTCAATGTTAACATTAAAATATCCTAATACCAGCCAGCAAATGATAAAAATTAAAAGTTTAATTTAAAGTACAATATATCGGCACTGACATCGGTATCAGCCGATATTAAAATATCGTATGATAAAGAAAACCGGACCGATATCTACAACTGATATATATTTTGTTTTTGTTGACATGTTTTCTGGAGGGGAGTGGAAACAGTTGGTCATGTGACATTGATAATTACACAACACAGGATTGCGGGAAGTTTAATCAAAGCTGAGGTGAGGACAGCAGAGTAGTCATTTTTTTCCAAAGTGTGGAAAGGATAGTGAAATATATATGGAAAATATCTGTGATTATTAATTGTCGGCTGTAGCAACAATATCTGTATCGGATATTGGTACAAATGTGCAAATCTACGAATTCCTGGTCTGTTTCAATAATCTGACCTCAACAAGAAGTGAGTAAAAGAAATAAATACATACAGATAAACCCAAACAAAGCTCCTCTAACAGACCAGCACCTGCGTTCATATTGTTATTGGATCAGGCTTTCTGAAAGGTGAATTTTAACGGCTGCGTTTCATGCTGCAATCACAGCTTCCGTCAGTCAACCTGAAGAACAAGAGCCGCTCTCCAAGTCCTCAAAGTGAGTCATGGTGGCCTTAGCGTTTTCTCCTGGTTCCACCTCCATATCCAACCTGTTCTGCAGGAGGACGAGGGGAGGGCCCTTGTTTGCCTCCAGGCTGACAACCACACAGCAACAGCAGGGAGAACAAATACCGGTTCTGTGTAGCTCAGAGAGAGCCTGAGATTAGAACGGAGCCAGTTGGTAAACCGGAGATACAACCACCAGTTTTAAACGGGTAGAAAAGTTACAGTAATAGAAACATTTACTGCAAATCAAAGTGGCGTCCATTCTAATCCTCTTATTGCCCCCCACTTCTTAAAATAAAAACCACTTGATATCTACTTTCCAGCTCCTCACCAACTCGAGGCAGGTTTCCTCATCCTCAAACTGTTTTGGGACATTTCTCCACAACCCTTGGGAGACTAAACTTAAAGTGAGATCTGCTTGTTTGCAAAAATAAACAAGAAGCAGCTGCTCTTTTAAACATTTCTGCACATTTCCAGGCTGACCTGTGATCCGGATAATCACTAAATCCTTCACTCTTATCACTGGCCAGCTGTCACCAATTTTCCACACATGCCTGAGGTGGAGATAACCAGCAGAGTCGTATCCAAAGACGCATCGGATCAATGAACGACTCGCTGCACATCAGGTGGAAAGGATTTTACTGTTTTATTTTGACTAAACGTGGCTCATCAAACCTCTGTTTTATTGCCGTTTTATGTGACAGAATGAATAAAAGGCCATCTTACTGTAAAGGGCATCGAAATTTAAACGATACTTGGTTTTCAAAGTTCAGCCTCATCCATCTTTCGTCAAATCAACAGATCTTCAACCATTTATTTCATTTAGGGGCATCTGAGTACATGGGAGTTGAATACTAATGCGGTTTTACGATTTTCAGTTATAACTTTTCTGAAATTTGTAGTTGCAGCGTGATAAAATGTGGTGAAAAGTCTGAAACAGAGATCAAAAAGATCGAGAAGAAACAAAACGTCGCTGTGAAAATAAACATAATAATGAGACATGTTGTAGTTTAACTGCATTACTTTTTACATTTAGGCGTATGTCTTCATCCATAGGTGGAATAAACTCCAGATGCTCGATAAAATAAACCAGCAAATATTTGCACTGTCAGCCTGGAAGACACTTGTTTTTATAAGGGAAGAGCCTTTGTACAAAATAGGGCTGAAGGTAACAATTATTTTTGTAATCGATTATTCTGACGATTAATCAGAATTTTTTAAAAATATGGCACATTCTGAAGATTTTTCCTACATTTTTCCTACCTGTTTCTGCAGGTTGCAGCCAGTCAAATTTAAGACTTTTAAAAGACCTTTTTAATAGGACAAAATGTAAGACAAAATAAAAAAAGCTAGCTAGGAAGGGTATATTAGCAGCAAGTTAGCAACCACCAAGTCACAACTTTTTAAGCTTGCCCAAAGTTCTTTCACCAAATGGCCTGTTTTGTGTATTCTCCACTTAATTAATCTATTACCAAATTAGCAGAGAATTACTGCAAATTATTGCAATAACCGATCAATCACAATAAATCTGATTACTTGTTTCAGCCCAAGTTGAGTTGAACACTAAATATTCTTGCTGATGCAAGATGTCACAATGCTGCGACATGGAAATGTGACTTACCTCCGCCACCAAAGACACTAACTAAACCGATACACTGCAGATTTCCTAGACAGCTCGGAAACACTGCTGCAGGGAGGGAATGACACATTCCCAGACCCGCTGCCAGCCTGCACAGATCACCTGCAGTACAGGACCTCGGGTTTATTTGTCTGCAGGAAATCTGCCATCTTCATCTTGTGTTGTGTAGGCAGGGTGGGACACTAGGTAAGCTCGGATGGAAAATGTGAGTCTGTGTGAGGAAACCCACTAATTCATCTCTGGCTGTGCTGGAATAAACGGAGGTCACTTGGGACTGACTTTCAGACAACCTTGATGCATTAGGAAACAAATCTCGCGGTCCCCTCCCGTCCTCCCTCCCGTGGGTAGGTGGTCATGACACCCTCAGGTCCCCCACTCACCAGAAAAAGGTGTTGGTCCCGTCGTCATACACCTCGCACTCCGCGTTCCTCCGGTGGAGGCTCTCCTTGGATGTCTGCTTCAGCACCTTGGCTCTGGCCGCGGGGCTCGGCTCCGGGAAGCCCAAGTCAAACGAGTCGTTGTGGACCTGCTCGGCGGCGGATGCGGCGCTGGCGCACTTGCCGGCGGACACGCCGCCTCTCTTCGGCTCGGACTTGGTCATGGCTGGTGGGGTGGCGGCTTTCACCCTTCTGAAAGCCGCCCACGTTGCTTTCAAAGAACAGAAAAGGGCAGGTAGAGGAGCAGCGATCCGGCTCGGTTCGGCTTATCCCTGAGAGCTGCTCCCGGTCTCTGTGATCCGCGTCAGCCCCACCCAGGTGGCTGCCAGCATCCTGAGGTGGCCGGAGAAAAATCCACGTAACTTGAACAGGAAGGAGAAAAAAAAAAAAAAAACACCTGAAAATCACGTCCAGTCGGGTTGTGACAGGCACACCGCCCACTTCCACCAAACTATCCAAATGTTCACGGCAGTGACGACTTCCTCCAAAACGCGCTGGGAGGATTTTAAACTGAAGGGCAGAAGCTAATCAACAAATCAAAGCTGTGCTTTAATGTCACACAGATTGGTTAGCTATTGGTGGCTATTTTTACATGTTTGACCTTGCCTGGGAGGCTTAGGCAACTAAAAGGTCTGTTATCAATTAACCAGCCGGTTTAAACACACTTCTTTAAGACTGCGCTTCGCAATTTGTGTCTCTCTCTTTTCTCTTTTTTTGTTTTAAAGGAGTCGGAACATTTATTAGCTAGCCGCTCGTGAGCGTTTGAAATGTAGCTACGATTACTCACCAGCTGGGTTAATTTGCGTGCTTACGGGATGTTTTACGGGTTAGCTCGGAAGCTGCTACCACTCGGTACATTATAGCAAATGTCGAAAACAGCTTTGCTGCCAATGAAAAAAAAGTTATTTTTAAGCCCGGCTGCGCCCACACAGACACACAGAACCACTGATGAGAAGCTCAAGCGCTGACAATCAACTGCATGCGCCGCACACAATCACATGCTCTGAAACACAAAGGCGTTTCCGGTCATTGCTCTTCAAAGTAAAAGCCCCTCCGTCTACGGCGTCTCACAACACGTCGGGGCGGGCGCCATGTTGTGAGAGGTGGTGGCTTCGTGCGGTAAGAGGAATGTTATTCCAATGTGCTGTTTATCTTATGTAATTTGAATAAAATGATCTGCAAACTCTGAGATTTTGAAGATAAAATAGCAACAATGAATAGAAGCACATAACTCAACAATACTCTTCTTATTCACACAGGGAAGCAGTTAGTTGGGGGAGCTTAGCCAGAAATTGTACTATGATATTATAACAATAAAATAACATTAAAAGAAAAAGTATGGTGCAGAAATTTAACACTTAGAAGTAACTGTCTTTTGAAAATTACTCAAATTGTTACAGCCCTTTTGCTCGCTTCCATTGTTGGGCCTCGAGAAACTGAATTTTGGGAGTAAAACATGATCATCAAAATGAAGAGAAAGAAACACCTGAAATACACAAGTCCAATTGTTACTCTGGTCATACAGTTTTATTTCAATTTCATCAGACAACACAACTTAGAAATTCTTCAAGAATTCATGTCTTCACCCATAAGTGGATTTGCAAACTATAATCTAGTGATTTATGTTGCTTTGGGAGTAGTGGCTTCTTCCTTTCTGAGTGGTCTTTCAGCTGAACTGGTTTCTCTTTTATCAGCTTCTCACAAGATGCGTCCACTAATTTACAACTTAAATGATGGAAACGAGCCTCCCAGAAGCTTGCCATGATATCACCGTCTGGGCTTTCCCAAGTTATTCAAAGGTGTGGTAAATGTAGTGTGTATAAGCTTCCCAATGTAAAGAAAGCAATGACATTTCTTTAAAAAAAGAGAGAGAAAACTCCTTGGCACTTAGAAAATAAAACCTCTGATGATCCCAACTGACAACAAGAAACATTTACTCTTATCTAAAGTCAAACACAAGGATGCCTTTTTATACAGCGTGAATAAAAACCTCAGCTAAGGTCTTTTAAAGCGTCTCATAAAAAAAAAAAAAATGCCACTCACAAAATGGCCGCGACTCGACAGGCATTCGGAAGCTCGTCTGCCCTTTCTGCGCGTCTAATGACGAACCGAAATGGTTTTATTATGAAAATAAAGACGCTCGACTCGGAAGTCCAGCTTCGCCTACTTGCCCATGCTGTATATATACTCGCTGTACGGAGGAACATGAACCTTTCAGTGTCATCGGTCGGTGAGTGACTAACACTCAGTAACACAGAACTGAGCAGGACTGTGCTGAGTCTGGGCTTCAGTTTGAAAAGAGGCGCTTTAAGTCGGCGTTTTGCTCCAAGTTGTTAGCATGGCTGTAATTGGATGATTTGCATAGCGTCATATCCGCCTCTTTAGAAATAAACGCACAAAAATAAATAAATAAAATCTATTTATTTACTTGAGTTGTTTTCAAAACAAACACCGAATATGTTCATTACAAAAAATATATCTGCATTTAACTGTCGTAGTTTTATTACAACTTCACATTTAATGGATAACATTTCCATGAAACATTAAACATATGTCCGACAACAAATATGCTATTTGGCAAAGATCAGAGGTCAAAACATTAAATAAAAATTCATGTCATATCTTTTCAGATTTTTTTTTTCTTTATAAAATGAAAGCGCAACTAAAATATCAATAAAATGCATTGCCGATTGGGGTAGTAATCTGACAAAATGCATTCTGTCGAGGGAAATGATTATTTTTTAAAAGGTACTTTAAATTTGGTGACTTTCTTTCCTTTTTATGTGATGTTTTTACTTCTTCCCTGCTTTGATAAGCGTATGAGTTTAAGAGAACAAAAGTTAAAGATTACAATGAAAGGCATTTATGTGTTTGCTAAAACTCCTTTCAGGCAAAGAGGAACACTGGGCAGACATTATCTTGTGAACCACTGTAGACGAAACATTTTTATTCACGAAACCTCAGTTGTTAAAGGTAAATGAATGACTAAAGAGTTTGAGGATTTTCTCATAGTTTGCCTTCAAAACCAACAGGATTTTACGCAGCCTATTGAAATGAACAATGCTCTGAATACCTAATGAATGATTGTTTGTGTACACAATTTGGAGGAGTGCAGCGATTTGGCAACTGGTTTATCTGAGTATGTCACATGTCTGCGTTAAACCTACAAGCAGCATGCAGAGAGTGCAGGGATTTTTTTTTTCTTTTTAGGTTTCACAAAAGGCTGCAGGCTTTTTGTGAGCAATTTCCCATTTGTTTACCTCCTGCAACGCTCAGCAGTCCTGCCTGCACAGCAAGTGAAACATTATAGGGCTCGGTTTGTTCAGGTGAATGGTCTATGTCTGGGGCGGCGATGGCAAACATCACCCAAGAAATGACCTGTTACGAAAGAGGAAAGCTCACGTGAAATAGAAAGAAAACCACAAATCCCATAATAGGCAATAACCTGATTTAAAGCTGTAGATTTTATAAAATGTCACCCAATCTTTTTTTTTTATTCTTTGTCATTAAGGTACACTAATTCCCAGAATATGGGGTAAAATAAAAAGAGAGAAAAAAGCCAAAAGTTCAGAGCTTTACACCAAGATTGCAATTGGAAAAACCATGGCATTGTAAATGTCTAAAAACAAAGACAAGAATCATGGACTGGCACAAGTCTGGTTCATCTTTGGGAAGAGTTCACAGGTGTATGAAGGTGCCGCACTCCTCTGTTCAAACATTACAGTACATGCAGGTATCACTCAGAGAGGAAGAAGCCATGGCTTCAAAAGCAACACAAAAAGCCTTGCAAAATGCATTCAGGGACAAAGGCCTTCATTTTTGAAAACATGTCACGTGTTTTGATGACACTAAAATTGGAAGTGTTTTGCCATAAGCACCACTCCTACTAACTCTGCCCTCGAAATGTTATCTTTTGTTTTCCTTCAACGAATCTAAAACACTGGTTTTAGGCCTCACGTTAACTCATCGGACATTCAACAGGCACGCTCGATTCAAATGAACACAACCCAACCTGTTGCTGGTCACTGCCTGCCTCAACCATTAGCATTCTGCCTGAAACTCCCTCTGCCTGCAGGCTGTTTTCGGACAGAAACCCAGACCTCTCCACGTATTTCAAAGAGCCAGTTAAGCAACTTTAAGTTCAAGCATGTGTGTGCTTTCAAGATGAAAGACTCACACCCGACCTAAAGAAGTCGGTCATCACAGCAGAACTCCATACCGACCGCACCTGCTGCTTCGGTGAAAACACCAAAATCACCCCCCTCCGCCCCCTCTGAAACATAATGAGTGCAGACTTTCTCCTTGCATTTTCACGGCTGATAGTATCTCTTTCAGAGAGCCTTGCCTGGGGAACCAAGGTGTTATCCTCCCACCTCATTAAGCCAATCAGTAAACAACTTAAACCCAACAAAGCTATGAGAAACAAAGATTGAGTTATCCACGATCCCCTTGCTAAGATACTACTTTATTGATAAAAACCTATTAGGCTAACAAGAAAGATGAAGTTACCACGTTGGATGGATGATACACTGTTCTCAGTAGGCAAAGATTAAGCTGTTGTTGTTGTTTGACCTAATAGCCATCAGGGGGAGCACTTGAGCCATAATGTGACGTTCCAGAATGTTAGGATTTACGTTTAGATTTTTTATTTGGCCTTTCTGTTCTGACATTTGATTTGCTTAAAAGAAAAGCATCCTTGCAGCATGATGCAGCCACTGTCATGTTTGACTGTGTGGGTGCTTTCTGTGTGTTGCCTTTTGGTTTCCATCAAACACAACAACTTGCATGCAAGCCAAGAAGTGTAATATTGTCAAACCAAGCAAATTATTTATAAGTACTTTTAAACCAGCAAAACTGACCAAAGCAATATTGTTATCTTCTGACCAGAAGATGACAGCACTTGTTTGGTGTACACATTCACCTTTTAAGTATTACATTTGTAAAAAAAAAAAAAAAAAAGCAACAACAAAAATAAAGCTAAATACATGCATAGTGATCCTTCTACTACACAACTATATCCTACTTTGTACTGATCTGTCAACTAAAATTACAAGAAAACACGTTGAGAATTTATGGTGGCAATGTCCAAAAACATCAAGCGGTACTAAGATTTTTGCAAATTTTACGATAAATAATTTACAGGAACTCATTAGTTCTCCTGACCACTACGATTGGAGAGCTGTACTATTTGACATTAAGACAAAGTTTCAGACTGCATCACCTGCCCACAGTCATAAACCATCACATGATGACAACTCAGCTGAGCGGTTGTTGAGCAGCGAGCGCTGATAAGTCTCCTCACAAGGAGATTCCTCTCTACAGTGCTCGTCTCCATGCATGTGACTCTGATGACACTCACATGGAAGCCATAAAGCGCACTGACAAGCTGGAAGTCTTGTCATATGACATCACCGTGTGATGCGAGTAACATCTCCAACTGCCGTGTGTTTCAACAAAACTAGAAAGAAAAAAAACCTCGGCTCTGGCCTTTTATCTTCTCACTCATACCTGCCATAAAAGTCCTAAGGTCAGGTTTAGAATCTGGTTAATCTGCTTTGTGTGTTTAAGGCCATAACACATCTAATTGGGATTTAAGTTTGACCATACTGACTAGTTTCTGGACTAGGCCCCTCTAAAACTTTTACTCAAGGTTTTTAGTTATGTTGAGGCAGACTTCTAGGCAAGTTCAGTTCATTACATTTACGATCTTTGTCCTGAGCTATAGCACATATTTTTCTGCAGGATTTTCTGTGAGAGACAATAATTCAACTTTTCAATAATTCAACTATTTCAAGTTGTTCAGATCCTAAAGCACCCTTAATCATCACACCCTCATGTTAGACTGTTGGTATGCAGTTCTTTTGTTGTAATGTAAGACTTGTTTTTGTGTTCCTTTAGCTCTATATTGGCTTTCACCACAAAACTCTATGGGGGAGGTCTCTATGGTCCCGGACAAGCTCTATGCAAGTTATTTCTAGGTTTTGTGAGAATGGCAATAATCAGGCTCAGGTGTGTCGAGTGACCTGGAGCTCAGCTTCTCATAAAATGTGTTCAATCATAACTGAATAATGATTATGCTACTCTTTGCATATCATGTCATATAGGTAACTTGTTTCAGCTGATAAATTAAATCACTGTTGACAAAAGTGTTAAATCTCATATTGCCTTTGAAAAGGTATGATGCTCTGGGACATGCAGGCGTCACCAAAAAGAAGGTGTCTCTACAAATTATTATTCAAAGAAGCTTTATTTGCTCAAGCTGCAGTACCATTTTCTTACCACTAAGGGTTGCTGTGCATCCGTCCTTGCTTTGCAAAGGCGTTGTCAGTTTTCTCGGCTCGGACCTGAGAGACTCTGCAGGCAGAGTCAACGCAAGCTGTTTGTTTGTTGTTAAAATAAGGCATGAATAAATAAATAATACAGGGCCTCCACATATGCGTAAAACAGCAGCTGTAGAGATTTCAGACTTCAACTTCTAATTGATCTGATCGGAACCTTCATCCCGTGATATCGCGCTGTTTGACCTGCTGTATGAGAGCTGAGGTCGCATCTGTGCGCACCATCTCTGCAGATCCAAAGCGCTCATTGTTTGCTCAAGGACTGAAAGATAAGGGGCCCTTGTGTGTTGGACGCTGACATGGGACATAACCTGCAGGTGTGTTTGAGACTGTCCAGAAGCAAACAATTCATAAGATAGTTGGAACTGTGGTTGCTTCTAATCTTCAGGTCGATTTGGGATTAAATTATTAGGCAGGGTTTGTATTGGCCTTTTATTCTTTTTAACTCTTTAAATGACAAAAATTAAAGTCAGTGACACGAGTCACTGATGCGTGAAAAGAAATGGAGATTTAAGGAAGGGGGTTTGGGGGGAGGGGTGGAGGGATGGAGGACATCGTGGTGAGGGCTGCGTGCGTATTCGGGGAGGGTTGGAGTTTCAGTCAGCCAATGAAGGAAGTCCTGGATCTACGCGACACGTTGGGAGGTTATAAATTGGGAGGCGTGCGGCACCGAGGTACATTTAAACCGAGCTACGAGGGGGGGCAGGCAGACACGCACTTGCAGCGCGACGACACAACCACAACCACCAAACCGACACCTGGACCTTCTTGTCGGAGATGTCCCACGTGCAGTTATCGAGCAGCGCGCTGGAGAGGCTGGTGGCCCGCAGGACCTTCCCTCTCCAAAAGCGCACCGGCGTGTGCCGCAGTCTATTCGGGCCGGTGGATCACGACGAGCTGAGTCGGGACGTGAAAGCCAAGCTGCGGGAGATTTCCGAGCGGGACCGGCAGAGGTGGAACTTTAATTTCGAGGACAACACCCCGCTGGAAGGGGACTACGAGTGGGAGGAGATGCCCGCGGAGAGGACGGCGGCGTTTTATCGGGAATCGGTGCAGAGCGGCAGGACGCGCGTCCCGGCGACGCCCGTGAAGCAGACGCCCTCCTCGGAATCCGTTATGTCGGAGAGCTCCGGCGGGGATGTCATGGAGCGCTTAGCGGCACCGGAGAGCGACCACGGCGACGGGGGAAGCAGCTCCAAGACCCCGGCGGAGGTGAACCAGGAGAACCGGCCGGTCACAGGGATCTCAGGGACTCGCAGACAGGCTGCCTGTGTTCGACGCAAGAGGTCGGCGGCTGCTGCCGATGACAACAACACGCACATCACAGGTAGTTACAGGGGCTTCTTAACCTAGCAGGGGAAAGAAAAAAAAACAAAAACCCCAGAGAAGCTACTTAAACTTCAGCATTTACTGTGACTTATGTATATTATAATCTCTTCCATTCAGACTTCTTCTGGAAACGAAAGAAGGCTGCGGACAGACTCCCCAAGTCTCCCATCTCGTTGGAACAAACTCCGCGAAAGAGGATCCGTTGAACGTAAGAACGTTCTTCAACCCCCATCTCCCCCTCCCCCATTTCTTAACAGCAATCACAGCTTCGTTTCTTCTCCTTCTTCTGATTCTTCAAATTGTAACAGTGTAGCACATGGCCGGTCATTTGTAATAGATTCTGTAATAACGCGGCCGCGAGTGATCGAGCCAGACAGCGGCGTTATCTCGGCTGGCTGAGTGGACGTGGGGGATGGGGGAGGGAGCGAGCCGGTGGTGAAATCACAGGAGCAGCTCCAGTGATAGTAGTATCTGTAGTAACACCAGCGGGCTGGGAGGGGGAGTGTGTGTGCGCGTCACAATGTGGCGGGAAAACGCTGCGCTAAGAAGGGGTGACGCCTCACCGCTGCTGTCGTCACTCTTCTTCTTTCCGCGGAAAGCTGACTCGCCGCTTTTCTTGTGAATCGAAATGCTCTTTATTTCGTCGAAAAACTGAACCTCGTGTCTGTTTTTTTATTTCCTCCTTAGGTGGCGTTTTTCCCCTTCTTCTTCTTCTACACTTTTTTTTTTCTTTTTTGCACTACTTCCCTGCGCGTTTTTGAGGACTCCTGCGCGCCGGGAGCCGCTTGTCAGGCCGCCGGAGGAGGAGAGGAAGAGAAGCGGGGACCGCCGCCGCTCCGCCGCCTCAGACCCCGGTAGACCCCGGTAGACCCCGGTGGGCCCGGGCGGAGCGGAGTCTGGACGCCCGCGGCTCCTCTCAGGACTGGACGGTTTGGGAACTCGAAGGGGCGGGTGGGTGGAAGAAGGAAGAAAAAAAAAATCTAAAAGGAGAAGAAAGAAAAGGAAAATAAAAGGGAGCGACGTTTCGCTTGGATTACTTCTATCCAGTACAAATGTAGCATTCATTGTTGCTTTTGCATACAGCCACTCGACAGTGTTAAATGTTTTAACATCTGTGCAATCCTAGAGAAAAAGAAAATCTTCTACACTGGCCAAAAGTGTACAGCTTTATAGAGACAGTAGCGTTTGTTTATTTCTAGTCCTTGTGTTTATTGTTTTTTTTTTTCCTGTAAATGTATATATGTTAAGTTTATTCTAACTTATAAGTTATTTATGTTTCTCTTTATTTGTCAAATGCCTTGCTGATTTTAGTCTGTTGCCAATTTTCTATTTTATTTTATTTGCTGTATTTTTTTAAAGATATTGTGGTGTTTTGCAATCTCGTAGCTTCCCAATAGTTGTTAAGCCTTTATATATATAAAAAACACAATTTCTTTGTGTCTGAGCCGTTATATGGTGTGTGTTTTATTTTATTTTTTTTTTTCTACAAGTGCCCTAAGTAAATTTTTTTGAAAAAAAAAAAAAAAGAGGGAAATAAAACATCTTCAAATGAAACCTTTAAGAGCGTTTGTGTTTTGTGCCTGATTGGCTCTGGATCAATTCAGGCTTCCCTGTAGACAAAGCATTTGGTAGTTTGTTTTGAAAAATGCTTTATGTTCTGGTTTGTGTTTCAGTATGAAAGCTACAGTCTAATTAAAACGAGCAAATCCCATCAATTAATGTATTTTCTGAACATTTTATACCAATCAAAGCCAGTGCATAGTAATGCATTGTCTTTGTCTTGACGTACTTTAATGATTTGAGATAATTAACCTTGAAAAACTTCCTAATGTAACTATAATTTCTGGATGTCTGTTCAGGTAATATAGTATCAATAATGTGTTAGTACTAATTTTTGAATAAATTATGAAGGTAAGTGCTAACTTTTTTTTTTTTTTTAAAGTCTACAGGGGTTTTTACATGTCCTAAATGTGTCACCATTTACTGCTTATCCACTTAAAAAAATTACTTTAGTAATTTTTCTACATTCTTGGCTACTAATTAACTAGCAATAGTTAATTAGTAGCAACTTTCTGAGGACTTTGTAGACATATCAACCTTGCATTTATAGCCAGAAAGTCCACACAATCCAAACCGCCAGACAACGAGTGAAACGCCCAGCATCTCCACCTGAAACGTGTGTGGAAAGTGTTTAATCGGATCCTTCGGCTCTCCGTCACCATCACAGATATAGATATCAAATACCCTCATAGTGACGCGGCCACTTTCTGTCTGCGTGAACATGCTTCACACGAACCCAAAGACCCTTTGCGGGGGGAAACCCGCATTCAGACGCAGCAACCCCTAATGGCAGCTGCGGGATATAGGCTCAGATTTAAAGGCCCTTTCGCCCCTTGTAAAGAAGCAGCAGCTGCCTTTGGATCCCCGCTTTGTCCGCCGCAAAGACCCACCCACCGCCCCCATCCCCAAACACACACTCACACACACATCCAACCCGCACTCGACAAGGCCCTCCAAAGGACCCACTCACACACACGCACTGTGTTTACCCCGCCGTGGATACACCGGGCGTGGAGGCCACCTGCCAGAAAGTGCAAAAAGAAAACTACTAGTCTTTGTAATGGTGCTCGTCCATTGAAACAGACCATTCAACAGGTCATACTTGCAAGTTTACCCTTAATTGAAAGAAGCCAAACGTGGGGCCCTTGCATGCATGCATCCATGGCTGTATCCATGCATGGCCGCCCGTCAATACACACAAAGCGAATATGGGGCTATATTTCATAATTTTTCTCCAGTCCCCTCCCCCCCCCCGGCCCTCCCATGACTGTATGAGACGAATGTTTGGATGGAAACGGAGACTTTTTGATGGTGACTTTGTCAGCCATAAGCTGTGACGGGGAGCTTGTTCTGATTTCCAACACAAAGCGCTCTCTGGCTCCATTCTTTCCTTTTTGTTGCCATATGGCAAATCCATGTAGACATAGCCAAGACCCATTCAGTCCAGCCACAGAATGTCCTGCGTCAGAGAACAAAGGACACTTTGTCTGGCTCCTCCATTGATACCAATGGGCAAAGAAAAAATATTATAATTAATCTATGGCTATATCCAGCTAATTAACGCCCATATGCCTGTGGGGGAGCCGAGGGCGCATTCAGCTCAGTTTTAGATCCCCAATAGTTTACATGTTAAAGACAACAGCTGTTTATGTGTTACTTTAATGAAGTCTCCGCTGTGTCGGAGACTGGACACATTCAGGCGGATTCAGTTCCCCGCACAGCCCCACCCGACTCCTCCCTTCATGCCCCTCCATGGTGCTAAACAGGTCATCTTCCCCTATTTGTCCCTGCAGCTGTGTAACTATATAAAATTTGTCCCAGTAAATAGGACCTTTAAGGCACTCTCGTTTGCTGAGAAGGGTTCGAGTTCGAGCCATTCTGGGAAGGTTCACAGGTTAAGGCCTGAAAACAACTCGCTAAGCTCTTCTTTAAGCCGAACAGAAATAAATTTGTAGGGCCCGGGCCGTCTTTCAGACGACCGGTCGAGACCGTCATTTGTTTTCGGGCTGCTTCAGACGCATGGAGCCGTGCGGTTCTAAATTAGCTCCACAAAGGCCCGTCGGACCATTATAACATCATTCAGCGAGCGTATGATGAGAGTATGATGGACATAAAGGAAAGAGATGACAGCGAACATGCAGAGCTCATTAAACATGTCTTCGACAATGGGTCATCATTGTACAAGCAGCTGCTGACGGGGAGAATCAGTCTCATGGGCCCCGCAAGGCCCCTTGTATGACCTTTGGCTCACATCACAGCGTCATCGGCAAAATTATGATCTTTTTACGCACTTATTTAAATGCTTTCTCCTTCTCTCCTGTAAGACTATACGTTAACTGGAAAAGGGTTTTCAGAAGAGCAGGAACAGCTGAGCAACACTTTAATTAGGCATTTAAATTTGCACAATCAGATGCAGGAAGGGTTAATTTTTGATTATTTGAGCTGGGAATAAATCTGATGCTGTGAACATCAAGCAGGACAGAAAAGAGTTTTTAGCTTTTGTTTTTAAATTTTGTAATCAAAAATCTATTTGACATTTTTGTACAATGAAAAAAGTCAAACTTCCCATCAGATCAATGCATTTTTTTCAACATAAAAAGAAAAAAGAAAAGCTGACATAACCATGCTGAAACGCATTTTGTCTGAACACCGGTGAAAGTCCTGACCTTACACGCAAAATCAAGTGGAGCTGACCAACAGCTTCAGATATTAAAAGCCACGCCGCACGGGACGTTTGAGTGTTCGGGTTTTGTGCAAATGTAGTAACTAAAAAATATGATAAATGATACTAATTAAAAAAAAAACAATTTCAGGGACGTGTTTTCCACTCGAAACTTGTAATTACCGGGATGGTCTGCAGAAGACTGTAATTAAATATAGAGAGGAGGAAAATCGGCCAGAGGAGAGGTAAGGGGCTGGGGTGTGTGGGTGTGTGTGGGAGAATTAGCATTTTCCATGACCATCTGGCATCGGCGCAGGCGACTGGGAACAAAGGAGAGCTGGATGGAGAGGAGAGGCGAGTGTGCCATCGCATTGACCTGCAAATGAGGCTTTGTCACCAAGTTAAAGCTCTCTGACCCCCCTCTTTACCCCTTCCAGCTCTTAAAAAAAATAACCAAAAAATGAAAATCCACATTAAATTTGAGTATTTGAGTGGCGCACAGGAACCTGAATAATGCATGTCTGACTGTGCTTTGGGGCTCCAGGTTAACACAGGTGGAAGATGAGGGACTTGTAAAGCTCAAACGATGTGCTGCAGGTTATATATGCTTTAAAGTTTAGACGTAGCTGTAAAAAGAACAAAAAAACAGAGGAAATATCAGAAAATCATCGAGCTGAATGACTTTCTATGGCGCAAACCAAGAATTTGTTGTTTTTCACGCTGCAGGGCAAGCTGGAAAAAAAAGTTTGCTTAACATCTGCAAGGCCTGTTTAATGCTTATTCAAGCAGATACTTATTTATTAAAACTACAACGTAAGGACTGAACAGTTAAATTAATTCAGACTATTGGATGACATTCCAAAATAATCCTTTTTTAATCCTGCTGGAAGTTTACATACTCCTACGTGAGTGTGTGTGAGCATTATGCATGTATGTGTGTGTGTGTGTGTGTGTGTGTGTGTGTGTGGGTGTGTGTGTGTGTGTGTGTGTGTGTTTTGGTGGTGGTGGGGGTTCGTCAGCTTGTTGGACACCTGTCTCCTTGTGAATGTGAATGAATAGTGTTTGCAAAGAAGCTAGTGATGATATATTTGCATGCTCATGAAAAATAATGACGCAAATTGTGAAATTGAGGAATTATGTAAGGAGTGTTTAAAAAAGGTTCACCTCTTTGATAAACATTTGATTACAATAATAGGCAAAAACAGAAAAACAGCAGCCATTAGACAATTCACTAAACGGACAAAGAAAAGCAGTCGTTAACATCCACTGGATCAAAATCCTGGAGTATTTTTAATTCATCTCAGAGGAAAATGATCTTGTACACCGTTACCATGGTGCATGGCACAAATTAATGCAAATTAGTCCAAACAGAGCAATCAACCGTGTGTGCAAAGTTTAAAGTTTTCCCACAATGAGGGAAATTACTGCAGAGAATCTGCAGGTCAAGTTACTTCTAGTCGGGCCACCAGATGCAGACGCGAAGCCAGCGCGTTTTCTCTTTTCTTTCCTCTCTCTCTCTCTCTCTTTGGCTTTTTTCCCCTCTCTTTACATCCACTCAGTATTCATGCCTGTGGATAACAAAG